GGTGAGGGCTGCCTGCTGTATTTTAACACTGGAGATCGTCGATGTAGTGGAAGAAAGAAAATTGTTTGCATTGCACTATTAATTTGAGGGAGTCTTATTTCCACTGACTTCCTCCGCAGTTACAGCTAGTGACCCACTTCGAAAACACACTCGTGCACTAGAGCTATGCTATACAACGTGGCAGAGTGTCACAAAACTTTTGAGTGAGTGCAGTTAGGCACAGAAGTGCAGGCTAAAAAAGGGCTTTTGTATGAATGAAAAAGAAACAGCCTGGAAAGGGGGAAGAACAATTTATTCACATCTTTCTCAACTCATTCTTTGCTCTGATTTTTCCTTTGGGAGGGTGGCACCTGGTAGACTAGGAATTTTAAAAAAATAAGAGGATTTCATATATCTGTGAGCACACCTGGATGTGTTGAATATTTTGCAGTAGTAATTATGTCTGCACACCTGCTGGTTTCAGTCCCAAATCAGTTTGCCAGACATGCCTAGAGAGATTTATTTCTCTTATACCTGAAAAAGCTCTTCTACTGCTGAGTTTTTACTACTCTAAATAAGCCTAAAGAAAAAAAGAAGAGGATTTTTTCTTGTCGTTGCTTGAGCCATTGGTATCTCAAACTGAACTGTGGAGTTTGTAGGGGGAGGAGGGTGTTTGGATGATATTTTAATAGCAATTTGTTTTTGCTTCAATGTGTGATAGAAATACAAGTGACAGGAGTGGGAACAGGAGAGTTGCTGAATTCTGCTGGAATTTTTCCTGTGGGAATCTGTTAATGTTTTTAATTCTCTGAGAGATTTTTCTAAGGTAATCCTTTTGACATTTACATATTTTAAATTACTCTCATTAAATAAAAGCTTAACTTTTTTATATCAAATGCTGAAGTGATGATACTGGAATACCACTGTATAGAAATTCAAATGGTTTGAAAATTATTCTAATTGCAACCTAAACAAAGTAAGTTTTGTGAGGGATATTAATAGTGAATTGTTCTTTAAAATAACGTAATTTTGAAGGAAATTCAATTGGTTTGGCATTTAGTAGAAGCATTTTTTTAGACAAAACCCTTTTTAGTACCTAATGTGTGGTGCGCATAGCCATTTGCTAATTGAAACACTAATTTGAACAGCTGGGGTTTCCACTCGTCACTCGTGTAGCAAATATAATCTATGCAGGAGCCCAAGGGTTTGCAGTGCACCTTGTGAGAAATACTTTTAGTTGTCTGTATCGTATCGGAGTGTAGCTCAGCCCCTGAAGGAGGATGCTGTTACCAGCACAGGGAAGGCTGGAAGAAATAAAACGTGGAACATCTTTTAAAAAACAAGAGCGTGATGATGAGGTGTTGCTTCTCTTACTGGTGATACCCTCTTGCAAACAAATCATGCCATAAGCAAAATGATTCCTTTAACGTCCTTTCACAGGAAGCAGGAGTCGTAGCTTGAGGATATCTCAGGGACAAACATATAGTCTAGCCCCGAGATGCTTTTGAATGAACTTTCTGCTGTAGGTTGCACTTTGCTTGTTCAAGCCCTTGAGCCAGATTTTGCTCTCAGACCAGCCTAAATACTAAGCAAATTCATTTAATTAAATTTGCTGCAGATATCCCCAGTTAACAAGAACAGATTGGTCTCCCTGAGGCTAGATGGAGTTAACAAGAAAATAAATGTTGTGCTAATTAGAGAACTCATTTTTAGACACCTGGGGTGAAACTTCAAAAAGTCCTAGAGATTTAGGATTGAAAATTCATTTGAAAATGAGTCTTAGGCTTCTAAATCACTTAGGCACTTTTGAAAAATCTACCCAGGGGCTTTAACCATTGTACGGTCATGATATTTAGCATGTTTGTAGCTGTCTGCTGTCCTGGTTTCGGCTGGGGTAGAGTTAATTTTCTTCCTAGTAGCTGGTACAGTGCTGTGTGTTGGATTTAGGATGAGAATAATGTTGATAACACACCGATGTTTTAGTTGCTGAGCAGTGCTTACCCTGGTCAAGGACTTCTCAGCTTCTCATGCCCTGCCATTGAGAAGCTGGTAGGGGGCACAGCCGGGACAGCTGACCCAAACTGGCCGCAGGCATATTCCATACCATGTGACATCATGCTGGGGGATGTTGGCTGGGAGGGTGACCGCTGCTCGGGGACTGACTGGGCATCGGTCGGCAGGTGGTGAGCAATTGCATTGTGCACCGCTTGCTTTGTATATTCTTTATTATTATTATTATTATTATTATTCCTTCTTTTTCTGTCCTACTAAACTGTCTTTATCTCAACCCACGAATTTTACTTTTTTTTTTCCTGATTCTCTTCCTCCATCCCACTGCGGGGGGAGAATGAGCAAACGGTGGTGTGGTGATTAGCTGCCTGCTGGGTTAAACCACAACACTGCTTAGCAAAGCATGGTATAACCATTATCTATTAGTATACCACAATGTATTTCATTATCCCTGTAAGTAAAGTAGAGATATTGAGCTACCTGGTGAGTTGAAGATAGGCTAAATGTCATTTTTTTGAGGATGCTTATGTGTCAATAGGAACAGATGGATGCTTTCTTGGAGTTTTTAAGGCACCCATGCACCAAATTTCCATCTATTTGCAGCATCATGGGATTTTCTGTTGATTTAGGTGCCTAAGAACTTTTCATTAAATTTTGGTCTTAAGTGACTTGTCCAGGCTCATGGATGAAGAAGACAGCACAGATGCAATTGCATAGTTCAGCACTTGCTGGAAGAAAAATGAGACGTTTAATACTGTCACACTGCCATTCATCTGCTGAGTCATGATAGGAAGTAATGAGGGGTCATCTCATATCATAGAATCATAGAATCATTTAGGTTGGAAAAGACCTTTAAGATCATCGAGTCCAACCGTTAACCTAGCACTGCCAAGTCCACCACTAAACCATGTCCCTGAGCACCACATCTACAGGTCTTTTAAATACCTCCAGCGATGGTGACTC